TAATGTTCTAGGTCAGTGGTCGGCAAACTCATTAGTCAACAGAGCCAAATATCAACAGTACAATGATTGAAATTTCTTTTGAGAGCTAAACTTTTCAAACTTAAATTTCTTCTAATGCCACTTCTTCAAAATAGACTCGCCCAGGCCGTTGTATTTTGTGGAAGAGCCACACTCAAGGGGCCAAAGAGCCGCTGTGGTTCATGAGCCACCGTTTTAGGTGTTTAGACAAGATTCAGGCTAATAGTCCCTCATCTAGATGTATAATGATAGGTCCATTAAATGAAGATGACTACAAATATAAGAAAAATAACATTGTGAATTCAATTATTTATTTACTAGAGTTATCACTATATACATAAAATAAAACACCGCTTAAAATAAAAAGCTGACAAGTATTAATCCACAATCATATTTGCACTGTGACTTAATCCTAAAATACAAATCCAGTCTACAAATAAACACAGGGACCAGGGAAAACCAGTAATGGTCAGCCAGATTTCTAAATTATAGTGCTTTTCCATTTCATAGTTTCCCACCAATTATTCAGCATGTCTCACTGATAGCTTGATGCTCAAACAATTAAATTTTAGATTTTGGCATGCCCCATCATTTCAGCATTCAGTGATATTCTACAGGAACATAATATAGAGCAACTTATTTCAATGATCAGAGAATTTATGGCTTTAAAGAGGCCTTCTGTGGTCTCTCAGTCCACGGTCTTTATATAATGAAGTACTAAAATAGAAAGTTGCCCTTAGGTTCCATAATTTAAAATGAATGAAAAATCAAGCATTAATTTTTAAACTCACTTTTGAATCCCAAATCTTGTTAATTTACACTTATGTGACTACAGTTATAATAGTAAGAAGACAATTATGAGAGGATTAATATACCAATTTCTATACTTAGTGATGTTTAAAAATCTAAGTGTTACCTAAGGCAATTATCTTGAAGACCCCTAATATCTTCAGGGAATAGCCGTAGGGAGGATAATTGACTTTGCTAATTTTACCCTTGGCAATTATAAAAAAGCTCTAAATTTCTTATGACTGTAGAACCCTTCATCTAATAGTCTGTCCCAGAAGTACAGAAATAAACATGTAATATAGGCATTCAGACAAAAATCCAATGGAAAATTGGTAGAAGTCATAAAAAATTAAAGTTGCTATAACTGTGCTAACTTTAATTACTAAGTTAAATATACATCCTTAAAAAAAAAAAAAAAGCAGGCTGTCACTGAACGAAACAGTGACATTCTATAAATACAGAAATTTTATATTAAGTTCTGCCTGCTCACTCACTGCTGTGGTCTCTATTCACATTACTATTGCTGAGATTATTCTTCCTTGTAAAAGAAAATTAAAACATTAAACAGAAATCTAACTTTACCAAGACATTAACCATATGTAGAGAACTTAAGAAAACTTAATACTGCTCCAAAGAAATATTTATAGCTACTTACTCCCTTTCCTTCCAAAAACCCTATTAATGGTTAGTATTATAGTCAATCAACGAAGCTTCTGGGAACTCATTTAATAAAATCAGTCCTTGTTTGAGATATAACTTCTCTTTTCTTAAAAAAATATTCTGATGTTAATACTGCCAAGTATTTAAATGAAAGGAACTGGTTTTGAATATGGGAGATTTGTTTTATCAAAGAAAAATCTTGACCTCCATGCATTTTAGTTACTCCTTACAATATCCTCAACTTAAAATACCAATCAAATGGTTTGGAAATCATCTATTATGATGAAAAGAAAGCTACTAAAAGCCTAGAGTTGTAGAAGATCAATTACAGACCTCTGTACTTCTCCTGGGATGTGGTATGCAAGGTCTTTCACAAGAAGTGAGCCAGGGAAGCCTCTTTTGAAATTGACCTTACAGAGCCTTCAATGTCCTTTTGGAGAAAAAGGTGCAAAAGATCGATGGTTTAGGTGAACAGGAGAGTTGCACAGAATAAAAACTTCAAGTCAGCACACAACTATCAAATTTAAAAAATACCGTGGCCTGCCAAACCGGTTTGGCTCAGTGGATAGAGCATTGGCCTGAGGACTGAAAGGTCCCAGGTTCAATTCCAGTCAAGGGCATGTACCTTGGTTGCGGGCACATCCCCAGTAGGGGGTGTGCAAGAGGCAGCTGATCGATAATTCTCTCTCATTGATGTTTCTAACTCTATCCCTCTCTCTTTCTCGGTAAAAAAATCAATAAGATATATTAAAAAAATACCATGGCCTAAAAAGGAAAAAAAATTCCTCACCAAACAAAGGTTGATAAAATGTAAATCTAAAAAGTATAAACCTGTGCAGAGACCATGAAGATATAGAGCTCACTGAAGGAGAAGAGAATGCCTGATCATTTTTATTTCAATGAAAAGCTTCAGACTGAACTGTTACTTGCATATGTAAGTTGTTTTTTTTTGGTAAATCAAGTAGTGCTACTGAAATCCAGTGCCTAATGAAGCAGATGGTGGAGGTCTTAGATTCTGGAACATTTTATAGTAATGCATCTGAATGCAAAACACCAAGAGTAGATTTCACAGGCTGTGAATCTGATTTGATTTTGATGAGAGTAAAGTCTCCATTTCCTCTTAACTTGAACCATGCTGAAAGAATGATGTGTGAAAGATACAAGCCAGCTAAGGAAAAAGAATACCTTAAATGTTATTCCCATAAAGTGAAGTGGTTAAAGCAAGTGAATACTTGTTTGTGTCACTATAGCATGACTATATTTATACTTAACTAGAGGGCCGGTGCACAAAATTAATGCATGGGGAGAGGCGGGGGGGGGGTCCCCTTCAGCCCAGACTTCAGCCCCTCCAATCTGGGACCCTTCGGGGGATGTCTGACTGCCGGTTTAGGCCCGATCCTGGGGATCCTCCAACTGGCAGTCAGACATCTCTCTCACAATCCAGGACTGCTGGCTCCTAATTGCTCACCTGCCTGCCTGTCTGGTCGACCTGAACTGCCCCCTGCTGCTGGCCTGATGGCCTCTCACTTCCCTCTGCATGCTGTCCTGATTGCCCTTAACAGTCCCCCACTGCTAGCTAGGTCACCTCCAACTGCCCCCTCCCTGCCAGCCTGGTTGCTCCTAACTGCCCCTCCCACTGGCCTAGTCACCACTTATGTAACATATTCATATACATAAAAACAAAATAAAAAAGAACTTGGTATTGATGATCTGAGTATAAAAAATAGGCACTAAAATAATTATTCTTGGTAAACATTCACATACTTTATTCATTTCTTAGTCATATCTTTATTATTGTGTCACTGGCATTTTTCTGAAAAATGTATTTTTTTTAAATACCTTTTATTGATTTTTTTTTTTTAACAGAGAGGAAGGGAAAGAGATAGAGAGCTAGAAATGTCGATGAGAGAGAAGCATCGACCAGCTGCCTCTTGCACACCCCCTACTGGGGATGTGCCCGCTACCGATGTACATGCCCTTGACTGGAATCGAACCTGGGACCTTTCAGTCCGCAGACGGACGCTCTACCACTGAGCCAAACCGGTATTGGCGAAAAATATATTTTTTAAAATGTGGTATTTTAAAAGAAAACTTCTAGCAATATTCTTTATAGTTGCATTTTATGATTAATTAATTTGAAATTGATACTTTCATTTGATTCTGATTGATAGGCCATAATATTTTTAATTGAGAAAATGCTCTTCTACAGGTTCTGAGTTACCTGGTAAACTCAGAGTTAATTTGTAAATGAAGGCGATACTCAATTCTAATTTATTTTTTCATATTGAAAAGTATAACTATTTCAGTTCAAATACTTTCAAGCTACTATCTTTTTGCTTCTTTTTTTTTTTGTAATATATTTGATTGTTTTTTTACAGAGTGGAAGGGAGAGAGATAGAGAGCTAGAAACATCGACGAGAGAGAAACATCGACCAGCTGCCTCCTGCACACCCCCAACCGGGGATGTACCCACAACCAATGTACATGCCCTTGACCGGAATAGAACCTGGGACCTTTCAGTCCTCAGACGGACGCTCTACCACTGAGCCAAACCGACTTCGGCTCTTTTTGTTTCTTTAACAATACATTTCTTTGACAAATATTTTTATACGACAAAACCTGTCAAACAGTCTCTCATGGTTCATTTAAATGTTTTGCCAAAATCAGATGCTGCAAACTCTGGGCCGTATCAATTTAATTTCATTCCTGTGTAAGGTATAATTTATTCAAAATAGAAGCCCCACCAAAAGATTTTTCCTGCAACGTAAAATACTCCAAATCACAATTATGAAATCTGATAAATAAATATTACATCTAAATAACTGAAACCATTAAAAAGTTTATAAAAAAGCTGGTAATGTGAAAATGCCTACATCATAATATGAAGCTGGGGAAAAATACACAGGATTAAAAAACCCTAATACCTGCCATTTTCATCTATATTACTAAAAAGCCCACATCTATAAAAGCATGAGTAAATAAACAAAAATGACAGAGAAAATACACCAAAGTATTAACTAACCATGATTATCTCTGTATAATGAGATTATAGGTAAATTTATATCTTCTTTAAATTGAAAAATTTTAAAAATATATTTTTATTGATTTCAGAGAGGGAAGGGAGAGATAGATAGAAACATCAATGATGAGAGGGAATCATTGATCAGCTGCCTCCTGCATTCCCCCTATTGGGGATCGAGCCAGCAACCAGGCATGTGCCCTTGACCGGAATTGAACCTGGGACCCTTCAGTCTGTAGGCTGACACTCTATCCACTGAGCCAACCAGCTAGGGCTAAATTGAAATTTTTAACACTATCGTATAATTAACAATAATTTTACCTGAATCAGAAAAACATAGAAATTAATTTTCTAGATTTACCAGTTTTATCCGGTGTCAACTCTGCCACCACCACCACCACCACCACCATCACAACTTCACTGAGCATCTGCACGTGCGGAGCTGGGGCCGCAGGGTACCAGTCAGCCACGAGCCACCTAACGGCCATTCAGGCACAGGCAAACCCAGTTTTACCTTGGTGTTCTGTAGTAGAGCTAGTCCATTGCAGGCATTTGCTAGAAGAAAGTCTCCACTCAAGATAGCAATTTTATTTCCAAAATGCATGTCTTTCAGCGGCCCATCAGAAGACTGCAATTCACTTAAATTTACTATTCCACGATGTACAAGGAGAGCAGTATGGATAAGTTCTGTGATCTCTGCCAAACTTCTTTGACTAAAACATAAAGGAAAGACTTGTCTGAGTGTCAAGAACACTCTTATCACTAATGCCAGACTTCAGTTTTCAACAATAAAATATTTACAGAGTAGATTTATTTTAAGTTGTTTCTTTTGAATGAAGTTTTAAATTGAGATATAAATGACATATAACATATTAGTTTCAGGTGTACAGCATAATGATTTAACATTTATATACACTGTAAAATGATCACCCCAATAAGTCTAGTGAACATCCATCACCACACATACTTACATTTTTCTTATAATAAGAACTTTTGAAATGTACTCTCTTAGCAACTTTTAAATATATAATGCAGCATTATTAACGGTAGTCACCATGCTATATAGTAAATTATCTATTCCCATTTATTTTATAACTGGGAGTTTGTACCTTTTGACCACCTACACTCATTTTACCTACCTCTTCTCCTGCTTTTGATACCACAAATCTGTTCTCTGTATCTACGAGTTCAGGTTTTTTGTTTCATTAACTAATTAATTAATTAAAAAATATTTTTACTGATTTCAGAGAGGAAGGGAGAGGGAGAGATAGAAACATCAATGATAGAGAATTTGGTCAATCAGGACTACAGATAACAGTTCTAACTCTGCCTACAACACTAGACTTTGGGGAAATTCCTTAAACTCTCAGATCCATAGTTTCACCACAGAAAGGAGGGGAACTGAAGAAACAGTCCCTTCCAGTTCTAAGATTCAGGGATTTCAGGTCTAAAATGTAATATTTAATTCTAAAATTAGAAGATTTGAGGGATTAAAAATATTACCTGGGCTGGCAATTAATAGTTTAAAAAAAAAGACCAAATTATTGCTATTATTGGTCTATAGGGAATAGAAATAAAATGATTGGTTATCTTGAAATCTGTCCTGTAATTACTATCTAGTGCTGTGCTCTTAACTTCTAGGATTTTGGCATTTAATAAACAACTCCAGATCACACTGTGCAAGAGTCTATAATAATTTTGTGTGCAGCAAAGAAGCAGTAAGAAAGCTGGAGTATTTTTTTCTCATTATCTTATTCCTATTTTAGCCACCAAAGCAATCTAATAAACTTGCAATGTACTAGATTTTAAAAATTATCTCATATAAAGGGCTTCATGCCATTTTATGCACGTATATTTTATCACTCTTGGGTATTTTTATACTAAATCTTAATTGGAAAAGAGTCACCAATGAATATCATTTATGTTAAGTAATCAGAGTAAGTAAGGAAGTAATTACCACATTGCACGTAACCCAGAGGATTAATTGATATTTTCACAAGAATTTTCACCGAATTACTCTTTCAATTGTATGTTAAACAACTTCATCTGTTTAGATCTATTTTCTTCCAACATTTCTCCAAAGTTTTTTTTTTTTTTTTTTTTTTTTTTTAGCATTCTAAGCTTTAGAAAGAATGATGGCAGACACTGCTAGTTACCCACTTACTCTTTCCTTCCTCACTACTAACACACCTTTTAATATATTTGGAGTGGCAATGTGCTCACTTAAAAACATTCGTGTCCCCAAGATCCCCAGAGGCTAGAAGTAATCATGTAGCACAGTCTGGCCAGTGAATGTAGGTAGAAGTTCACTAGGTGAAGTTTCTGAGAAATCTACTGAGCTCCTGGTATCAGGATTCAGTGGATGTGCACCTTTGGCATTTTGGGCTTACAACCTCCTGTTGGAAAAGGGCCCAGCTGCCTGGAGGCACAGTAGAGACCTAAGAATACTAAAGAGGGCTCCCAATGAAGAATAGTGAGCAAGAGGAAAGGAGAAGCCTGGGCCCTTGATGACTTCTTCAAGTCAGCTTGAATGTGCCCACCTCTAGACATTTTGCTGAGTTAGATAAGCATTGCATTTCTTTAAACTACTGTTTGTTCGAGTCCTGTTATAGACAGCCAAGTGAATTCTTGATAGTCAATAACTATACCACAAAAATAGTGAAGACATTTTATGTTTATATTTCTGTACTCGTTTTATTCAAGCAATATAATCTCTTGGAGATAGTTCCACGTATTATTTACAAATAAAAAAGTTCCATATTTTTTACAAATAGGGAAACTTCTTGTTCTATTTAACATCTATCTTTACAGAGGTTCATTGTGTGGATGTGTTGTGCAACTTTTGCTGCTATCAGGTGAATGATAAACTTGTATTTGTTTGGAGTATTTTTAAGAATCAGCCCATGTGTCACTTCTGTGAAGTCTTCCCTATCTTCCCCAGATTAACTCCTTCTGTGCTTGAAAGGCTCTGAACATAGCTCATTTATTGTGCTATACTGTAATTACTTCTTTAGCAATCTATCTTCCTGCCACTTCTCTCCCTTACTACACTCTAAATTACACTATCCTACCTCTTGGCTGCCTATAATATTGTTAAAGGAATAACTCTTTGTGTAAAGAAGCGATTTTCAACTGATGTGCCACAGCACACGAGTGTGCCACAAGAATTTTAAAACATGTAAAACCTGACTATTTAGTCAGGGGCACTGACCTCTTTTCTTTTAGATTGTTAAATAAAAAAATGACAACAGCCAACACAATAGTAGCCATCTGTTGTGAATGATGGCTACCACTGTACCTATTTTTAAAAATATATATTTTATTGATATTTTGCAGAGAAGAAGGGAGAGAGATAGAGAGCTAGAGACGTCAATGAGAGAGAAACATTGACCAGCTGCCTCTTGCACACCCCCTACTGGGGATGTGCCCGCAACCCAGGTACGTGCCCTTGACCGGAATCGAACCTGGGACCTTTCAGTCCGCAGACTGACACTCTACCACTGAGCCAAACCGGTTTCGGCTGTACCTATTTTTTTGGTCAGATGGGCAAAAATATATTATTTTGGTGTGCTACAGAACTTTTTTTAAAAAAAATAAATCTTTATTGCTCAGTTTATTACAATTGTTTCTCCTCTTCTCCTCTCCCTATAGCTCCCTTCCACCAGGTTCCTGCCACACCCTCTGCCCTTACCCCCTCCGCACCCCCCCGTCATTTTCCTCATCCATAGGTTATATGATTTTAATCCAGACTCCTTTTGCACCCCTACACCCCTTTCCCCCTGATAATTATCAATCCACTCCCTTTCTTTGCCCTGGGTTCTATTATATTCACCAGTTTATTCTGGTCTTCAGATTTTTGTTGTTGTTGCCAATGCAAAAACTAAATCACATACATGTTATTTTCAAAACTTAAATGTCAAGAGCAAAACTCTGGCTATTAAATAATAACAACAATGCCAATGCAAAACAACAAAATGAGAAATCAGAATTATGGACATATTAATATTTTTAGCTACTAAATGAGTCTCTTTTGTTGCTGGTATAGATTTACTCAGAATCCTTAGACTTGCTGCACAAGACTTTGCAGAAGACTGGAAGCTAAAGATGCTAGCATGAGCAGGAACATGATTAAAGAAGTAGCTTCCACTTTAGTCTTTAATTTCTTCAGATGACTCCATGTTGGCACCTCAGTCCCTTGCGTAGCCTTCAGTTTTCTTCTCCCACTTTGCTGTCGTCTGGGCAACTCTCAGTCCTTTTGGGTGAAGGGACACAGGGGCTTCTCTGAGTCCATTGTGATGACGGACATAACACTCTGGTACCCAAATTGGCTGCATTGCTCCTTCTTTCCTTTCATTTTGAACCCAGGGTTCGACCCCACAACACTCTGGGCCTGGCTGCTGCTGCTCTGGGCCTGGCTGCTGCTGCTACAGAACTTTAGTAATTAGTTTTTGTGTGCCATGAGATAAAAAAAAAAAAAGTTAAAATCGCTAGGAAAAAGGGATTGTTATCATTCTTAGTTTTACAAAGAACAGAGTGAGATAAACTAAAAAGTCAGATTTATTGAATCAGGGTGGAAGTGCCCCCAGAAGTCAATTAACCTCAATTAACTCCTTCCAGGATGAGTGGTAAACTATATAGGAACCAGATCTGCAGATGAATAGTTTTAATTATTAGAAATTGTTCCTTATATTAACTTGAAATCTCTTTAAATGTCTCATGTTTTTAAGTTGGTATTAAACTAGTAGGAGTGTCAACTGTGTTTCAATACACAGGCAAGGAAGATTAAATACAATGGAGTTGTCTTCTCTTTCTTTGTTATTCTTTATATTCTGCTTTTTCTCTTTTCTTCCTCCATTCCTCCTTGTTTTCCTTCTTTTTAGAGGTTTAACAAAATACAAAAAAGTACAGAGAATAATATAATAAAAGCATAATATTCCACTTACAAATAAATGTTTACCCTTTGTCATTTTAAACAGATTTTAAAGATGCATTTTTTAAAAAAACCCTTTATAATTTGGGTATTTTAAAGCATTCAAAAGTGAAAATGTAGCATAAAATACCTCTGTGGATCATAATTTTGTTTCAGCTACACCTTTCACTGATCTTCCAGATTATTTTTAAGCAAATGCCAGATATCATGCTATTTCATTAGCAAATATTTCAGATATCCAATCTTTTAAAATGCCTAACTGCTTCATGGCTTTCATTATCTAAATTATTTACTTTGAGCCAATGAATTACTGTATTCTGAACATTTTATACAAAATAATTTTGCAAGCATAACAACTCAATCAGCAGATTAATAAAAAATAATGTAAAACTCACAACAGCTGTCTGAGGTAAGCATTATTATCTCTACTGCACAGAAGCGAGCTGGACTGGCCAACTAACTTGCTCAAGTTCACATAGCTAGTAAGCTGCAGGGCTGGATTCAAGCCCAGAGCTCTCCATTTTTAAAGCCCAGGCTCTTTGCATATCAACAGAAAACTAATAAGAATACCGAACACAACATGTACAAAATTCAGAGTGTATTGAAAGCATTAAAATGATAGATAAGAGTCATTAAAATTTTTTAATGATTTTTTTTTTTTTTTAAGAGAGCAAGAAATACCAATGTGAGAGCGAAATTTAGATCAGCTGCTTCCAGAACACCTCCTTCCAGGGATCAAGCTGCAACCTGGGCCTGTGCCCTTGAAATTGAACATACAACACT